GACAGGAGGGAGGCATGGGGGGGGGCACGGGGGGGATGGGGGTCCCGTGATGGGGGCATGGAACAGAAGAGGGGGGGGCAGAAGATGTGTTAGAATGGGGAACGTGAAGGACAGACAGCAATGGTCACAGCCCCATATTCACACCATGGGGGAGGGGCTTCGCCAGGCCACGCCCACGTGGAGGAGGGGCTTCATCAGGCTCCGCCCACAAAGCCACACCCAGGTGAAACCCCACTGCCCCCCCCCAAAGACCCCAATTGCCCACAGCCCCACTATGACCCCGCTGCCCCCCCATTGACCACGCCCACTGGGCGGAGCCTCACAGTGACCACGCCCAGTGGACACATCCCACCAATCACACGCGGTGGGCGTGGCCTTCACTTGACCACGCCCCCAACTGCCAACAGCCCCGTGGCTGACACGCAGAGGGCGGAGCTTTACCCAGGTCCCACCCCATGGGCGTGGCTAATTACAGCCAATTGGAACAACCCTAGATGACACTTAGCGGGCGGAGCTTGGGGGTTAGCCCCACCCAGTGGGCGGAGCTTTGGAAATTCAGCTCCACCCAGTGGGCGTGGCCGCACACATCCATTGGGTGCTCCACACACAGTGGGCGGGGCTTCCGGGTTGGCCCCACCCCAGCCGATGGGCTCCATTGACAACATTCAGTGGGTGGAGCTTCCTGCTTTTAGCCCCACCCAGTGGGCGTGGCCACCCACAGCCAATAGGGCCCCCCTGAGGACATCCAGTGGGTGGAGCTTCGGGTTGGCCCCTCCCAATGGGCGTGGCCACGCAGCCAGCAGACCCCAGCTCCAACACCACCAAGTGGGCGGAGCTTTAGATAGTCCCCACCCAATGGGCGGAGCTTCTGGGTTGGCTCCACCCAGCCAATGGCCTCAGTGACAACACCCAGTGGGCGTGGCCACCTACAGCCAATGGGATCTCTCTGATGACTCTCAGTGGGTGGGGCTTTGGTTTGGCCCCTCCCAATGGGCGCGGTCACACAGCCAACGGACCGTCCCAGACACACAGTGGGCGGTGCTTTATCTTGACCCCACCCAAAGGGCGTGGCCTCCCGTAACCACGCCCCCAGGTGGGCGGGGCCTCACCTGCCTGCCCCACGTTCATCATGCTGTACATGGCGTACATATTGCAGATCTGGCGGTACTGCTCATCCGAGCCTTCCTCCCCTCCGTCCTCCTCCTCATCCTCCTCGTTGTGGAAGGATCCGGGGCTGTCGCTGGTGTAGGCGCTGGAGGTTCCACCAGGGCTGGTTTGGTCTGCAGTGCTGGCTGCCATCCCCGCTCCCTGCTGCTGCTGCTGCTGCTGCTGCCTCCCGCTTTTCGGGGTGGAGAACTTGGCCATCTTCCTGCTGCCGTTCCCCCCGTCCTTGGAGCCGCCGTCCCACAGCCGTTTGACCACAATGGTGCATTGCACCCCGTCGGGTTCTCCCTGCTCCGTTTTCACCCTCGATACCAACGGCAGAGCGGCGGCCGCCCCGCCGGAGGACCACGAGGAGGTCTGAGCTACGGGGCTCTGTGGCTCTGAGGACGGTGCTTCCTCCCCGTGCAACCCCTGCGAGTCGCAGCTGGGTGAGCTGACCTTCAGGAAGAACTCGGTCCCCTTCTCCATGATCTCCTGGATCTGCAGGAAGCCCGCGGTGTACATCAGCAGGAACTGATCGCCCACGTTCATGCTGAGCCTCCCGGTGTAACAGAAGCTGAGGATCTGCTGGAAGGATTGGGGCTGAACGGCGGCAGGCAGTTCCACCACCGAGCTTTTGCTGCTGTTGAAAAGGTCCCGGAAATAGGAGCTGCTGGCAGCCAAAACGGCACGGTGGGCTTTGAAGGCGTGACCCTTCACCACCACTGAGACGTCGCAGTACAAGCCCTGCAGCCGCTGCTCGTTGAGGCACTCCAGGATGCTGTTGCCGAAGTTGGGGATCTCCATCTGCAACGTCTGAGCCATGGCGGGGGGCGAGGGGGGGCCTGAGGAGGGTGGGGAGATGTTAGGAGGGGGGTTGGGGGGTGGCGGGGGGGGTTGGGGGTGTGGATGTGGGGCACAGAGAGAGGGAATGTGAGGAGTAGAGGGGGTAATGGGGACAGAGATACGGGGGGTGGGGTAGGAAAGGACACATTGGAGATGCAGATATGGGGTATGGAAATGGGGACAGAGCCAGAGATATGGGGGGAGGAGAGGGGACACTGGGGGCACAGATAAAGGATATATAGAAAGGGACAGAGCCAGAGATATGGAGGGAGCAGAGGGGACACTGGGGGCACAGATAAAGGATACAGAAACAGGGACAGACCCAAATACATGGGAGTAAATAGGGAGGATAATGGGGATGCGAATATGGGGTGTAGGGATGGGGACAGACCCAAAGATATGGGGGGAACAGAGGGGATAATGGGGAGGCAGATATGGGGTTTAGAAATGGGGATAGACCCAGAAATACGGAGACAGAAAAAGGAACATTGGGGGCACAGATATAGGACATAGACAAGGGGACAAACCCAGAGATATGGGGGGAGGAGAGAGGACAACGGGGACACAGATATGGGGTGAAGTGGTGGAGACAAAGCCAGAAGTATGGGGGGGGGGGGGGG